TAAAAGAATTAAAAAAACATACAGAAAAAAGCATCAATTTATAACTTGAAACTAATCTATTATCATGTAATATATACTCTCAAGTATAAACTTTCATATAATTCATAAAACTAAAATCTAAAAAAATATTATAATAAATAATACAGAGAAGACATATTTAATATTTATGTATACTGAATAATGACCTAATACAAAATACAAATATTTACTATTAGAGAACAAAATGAATATTAATATAAAGTACATGAAATATTATACAAATTATAATATTCATATCGAATTAAAAGCAATAATATAGAATAGAACATAGTATACGTATAATTCTAAAAATCCAAACATAAACTCAATTAAATTAATTCGGTTATGGTTTTATGCATTTACATTGTACTACAATATAACTGAGATCAATATAATACATATACTTTCATCTATATATATATTATAATAAAATTTCATAGCTCAAAAAAACTTGTATAATATAGAATTATATAGGATTTAAAGAATTTTCGGTCTATATAACATACATTTGATATATTGCGTTTTATTATAAGAAAAAAATTAATTCTTCTCTTGTTAGACTATATATGTTAACCATAATGTCTTATACATTTAGTTATAATGAAGTAATTTTATTTTTATTAATATTAATAAAATTTATTTTATGTAATATTTTAAATACATTTTTTTTGTAAATACACAATAGTTTATTCCAAAATATATTATTTTAATACTTATTAAGAATATTATTTTAATTTATTGATTAAATTTAATGATATATTTCCCCAACGTTTTAAGGATTATGTTACATCTAAATATCCTTATATAAGAGAGTTTATTATAAGAGTGAAATTGGAAAATCTCCGTATGTTGATTTTTATTAAAGATATGCAAGAATGACAAAAAAAGAAATATGCATTCATAACGGATTGTATGTCACTTGGTTTCTGTTTATATCATAAGAAAATGAAAGTGCATCTCATGAAAATTATGCAAAAATAAATTGTATATAATTCATCTACAAGTTACAAGATCTATTAAAAGAACATAAATGTATATATATAGACCCTTTATAGAGTTTCCATATAATGAAAACATATATCGACCAGGAGGATAATAGTGAAATAACATTCCTTGATATATGTGATAAACGTGTTGTTAAATTTGAGGACAAAACTTTTAAAATATTTAATTATTTTGATGAAATATATAATATTATTGAATTCATAAAAAATAGAGTTTATTGAAAAGAATTTTTTATTCAATTTAAACAATATATACATAATTTAATACCATACAGAAAAAGGAATAATTAGCTAATTCACATAATAGAAAAATCTATATGTTCTTATAATGAATCCATTGAGAGTATCCAAAAATGTTATAATGATAATTATCAGTTTAAGCTCTTAAAAAAAAATATATATGTCAACTAAAAACACATTGGTGTATAAAAAAAAAGTGATAACACACTCCAGCTAATACTTTCAGGCATATCAATAGGCAAAAATATTTAGTAACTCATGTTTTATATTCAGATATATTAATAATAATATTCATTTTATATAAGGTTATAAATAAGTTTATTTTAAATAATATGTATTATTAAATAATTCATATTATACATGAATACATAAAAATTAGTTAAAATTAGGTAAATGCTTATAAAAATTTCATATTTTTGAATTGTTTACTGCGTACTCGAAATGCTTCCCTTGCTCAACTAAGTGTAACCGATTTTAGGAAAATGTTAAATAAAAAAAATGAAAATCGTAACAATTTAATAAAATCATTTGAAGGGACATATATAGATATAATTCGAAATCAGTATTAAATAGTTTATAAGTACATTAATCCCACTATAACATATAGTATTAGTTAATCAACAAATATATATTTAATGAAGAAAGATATAATTGCACACAATGATTTTATTATTAATATAAAATGAATGCTAATAAGAACAATTACAGGTAAATATAATTATAAAATTATAAAAAGTATTTCTATGTATTTTGTAATGTCAATATATAAATAAAATATCTATAATGAACGGAACATGCATAAAGTTGAAAAATTATATGATTTATCAAGAAACCGAATAAAATAATAATCTATGTAATTTTCTATTCAAACTTACATAATGAATTTATGTAGTTATACCTACATATGGAAAAAAAATATATATTATCAATATTAATTAAAATTCATATGTGAAAAATAATATATTTTTTTATATCTGCTTAATCAAAAAAATATATATATAAAATACAATGGTTGTGTTATATAAATTTTTGGTAATATAATAATTAATGTAATATTATATAACGTACTATAGTAAATAAAAGAAAACCATAAAAAATATAAAACATTATCATGTATAATTTTATTCATAAGAACATATGTTAATGAATAAAGCATTTATTCCGTAATTAAATCTTCTAAACACCATGTATCATAGGAACAGACAAAAAATATTAACTAAATGAAAGAGAATTCTGTGTCTACTAGCTTAAATATATGCATACGAAATATATAAAAATGCTAAATTTAAAAATATTTATAAGAAGTACGGAACAAATAAAATATGTCAAATTGATCATATGACAATGTAAATATATTGATTATTACATACAGTAGAATTAAGATATTTATCATTTATTTTATGTTACCTACATTCACGTGATATGGACTTTATAAGAATTTCTTATGCAATATGCTATAAATATTTTTCCCTCCCTTACAGGTTATATTCATGATATGTTAAAAATTTGCGTCATCATTCGATTTATTCATTAAGTTTTGAGTAATATTTTTAAATAAAATAGTTTCTTGTTTTAATTTATATTTCATTTTAATACTTCAATAATTCTATCACTTTATAATTATTACTAATTCAACATGTGACTGTGTTCCCTAAATTGTTAATATTATATACAATCCATGTATTCTACAATAACAAAACATACGTTTTTGTCATCACATAATAGATAGACATAAGTGAATAAGCTAGATTGTGCGTCCTTCATACATTCCACTAAGAATAAATATAATTATGAAAAATATATGGAGCATTATAATTATGTGCACATTTCATATATAATTCTTTTTTTTAATGTTCTTTTTTTTGATATATTAATCCTACATATAAAACAAAAAACAACATATTATTTTATTTTATCTTGCATTTACGAAACTTATAAAAAAAGAATAAAGTTTTTGTTTATATGTATTTTAAATTTTTAAACAAATTAAAATTAATATCATAATAAATAAATTTCAAAACCTTATAATTATTTTATTTTAACAAAATAATAAAATAAGATTTATAATAATAATGGTAAAAATATTTCCTAATATATTCAATAATAACATAGGAAATATTTAAAAATTAAGTGAATAATTATGATAAAATGTAAGAATTCTTTAATAAATATGTTATTTATTATATCATAAGATATTATAATTAAAAGAGAAATAATTCTCAATTTTTATAATAACAACATAATTTAAAGTAAAATGTCTATTAATTTATCTAACAAATTGTTCAATACAATTTTTTTAATTCATTAATGACAAATTTTACCAATAAAAAAAATATTTTTACATAAACTAAATGCTTATTATATGTAATTGTAAGAACTTGTTTAAGTGATAAATGTGTCATAAGTATGCATAACATAAAATGTTTATTATTGGAGCATTACTGGAGATAATTGCAAGTTATTGGCCATAAAAATTAATATAGATATTATTTCTTAAATGTAAATTTGGATATATATCTTCTTTTATACTTATGTAATGCAGCAGGTATCTATATTTATTCTATATTATATACATTCTTGCTTATTTTTAATATTGATAAACTGTAATTTTAATTGTTTTAACGATCCAATAGTATGAAAAATTAAATATATAATCAAAATACGAAAAAAAGTTTTGCTCGTAATATATATGTACTTCAATGAAATGTAACTGTAAATTCATTACTTTCTGTAATATATTATGTAGGTATTACATAATTATTGTTTTATTAGAGGTTTATATTATATTATGAAATTCATAACAAGGATTAAAAGACAAAAAAAATGTTATGTAAATTTTGTATATAACGAATATTATCGCACATGTATTATATATATTTATTTATATAAAACATTATAAAGAGGTTCGTGATAAAAAAAGACATTTATTGCACAATTAATCATTGAATATTGTATTTTCAAATTATAAATAAAGACATGTATATGCAAAAATATATATTATTATATGATATTAGGACATATGTATATAATAAAAATGATATAAAGTATAATGTGCTTTGCATTCCATGTCAAAATATAATTTATTGAACAAAAATGAAATTTGCTATATTAATAAATTCTACCAATCTTTATAATACAATAATGAAGAACAGTTTCTATTAAAATCCAAAAGATTAGTAATTAAAAAATCACAAAATAAAAAATAGTAATAGTAACAAAAAGCATGAATTTTTAACTGTAAAATATATACTGTAAACCCTGAACTTATATACAGTTATATCTGATTTCTAAATGCAATTCAAAATATAAGAAAAAATATTCTAAGTTATAATTATGAATTATATGGATGTATATTCATTTTAGAATTATATAATAGGGAATCATTTTATTATAATACATTCACAAATATAAAAATATTAAAATATATTTGCTTATTATTAAATATGTTTATATAATCTAAAGCTTGTGTGAATATATTTATTATTAAGTATTGAAAGAAAAAATATTCCCCTTAGAAAAACCATGATATTACTATAATGTAATATTTATGTGTTACATAGGAATAATCAATATGATATAAAAATATGTAATTTAAAATGTTTTTAATAATGATGACATTTTCTATCAGTACAATATTGTTTATTATATTATTTTTTTGCTTATAATAATTTATTATTGAATGAAATTAATGATTTTTTATATTAAATAATATATATAAAACATAAAAGTATTATGAATATGGAAGATAATGTATGACTTATGTTTTTTAAATAATTACAATTTATATTTCTGAATTTTATAATCATTACCTTTACAAAAACAGAAAAAAAATATATTTTAATTATATATATTTAAATTATTGTATACATTATTATTTTCAAATTTTAGTTCGATTATGAAAATATTTTTCCACAGTGCTCAGATAATTTTACAGAGGCAACAACAGAAAGTTTTACTGCAGGTGCAACAAAAATTCAAAGTGCGTGTCAATTGATTTATTTTATGATAGAAGCTAATTCAAAAATGTGGATTCCATTCATAAATGAATGCAAAATACTTAGCCATTATTTAATATATATTAATAATAATTCGTCTAATGATGGAAAAAATTGTTGTAATTATTTCAACTATAGACTAAAACAGCTATTGAGGCAGTACAATTGTGACATTCAGAACACGCTAACTTCTTATGAACAAATGATAAAAGCTTACACACTATATAATTTATCTAAATATGATATATGTTGGGAACATGTTAAAAATCTTGAAGATGATTCCTTTTTTAACATATCTTTTCTGGAATGGTTGTATTTTTATCTTGCGGACTACAAGAGAAAAGAAAATAAAAGGAGTTTTACATGCCCACGCAATAGCTTTGATTATAAAGAATATTTAAAGCTTCTATCAGAATGTGAAACGAAGAAAAATAAGAATTTCTGTCGTATTATCTATAAATTGCAAGATGAAAATAGTGATTATATGTTGTTTATATGTAAATGTCTAGAAGATGCTAAACCCTTAGCTATAACCAGTGAAACAAATACAATCCGACTTGCTGTAGCTACATTTATTGTATTATGTACAATATTAATAACTGTACTTATTTTTTATAGGGTTAAACATACAAATAATTTAAAAAAAGTCATTGAATTACATTATGTGTTAAAAATAATTATAAATATTTACATTAAGAAAAAAGCATATTAATATAAATATTTTTTCTTCTCTTATTACCAATAGTTTAATTTTTTTGGATTATATTTACAACGCACATTAAGGAAGATAAGGAGTCACTTGAATAATAAAAATAATGACAATTATATATTAAATGATATATTTGAAATGGAATACACAGGTTTAATTAAGGATGAATATAAAATAGAATATACCTCAAAAGGCTATTAAAAAACATTTAATAAATATTAATTATGCGAAATTGTTCTTCAAGTAAAAATACAAAACAATATGAATGTATTCCTGTAATAAATAAGTAAATAATTTTTAATTTATAGGATTCATGGTTTTATGAGTATGAATAATTAATTAGTTTATGTCTAAAGTTATAGAATATATGAATAATGTATGTTATTGATGAAATAATTTTATTTTTATTATTATATTTTTCAGATTATTTTCATTAATTCACTAAATGTATATACACATTTATTAAAATTATATTATTTGAGAAGATATATATATTTATTTATAACGGATCACATTGAAATTTATTTATTTGCACATGATATGACATTTAATGAAAATGAAATAAAATTAATTATTTTTTTTAATGATATAAATTTTCTTATTATAAATATAGTATGCATACATTATAAACTATATATGTAATATATGCAAAGTTTGGTTCTATAATACATATGGAACGTAATTAGATACAAATCTTTATTTATATAATAATATTTTATGAATGTCATTTAGACAATTTATATTAATTATTAATATATCTCATTAAACGAGTTGTTACTATTAATTTTTTACATTTTATATTTATTAGAGTATTAAACATTAATTTTTGTTTTTGTATTTCATTTTAATGAATTTTGTTTTATTAAAAAAATACATATTTTTAATGCACTAGCTACATCATGTGTATATTAGTGTTGCTATAATTAATGGTATATCCTTTATGAATATCTGTAATTAATTCCTACAAAAAAGACTAATTAAAAAATATAAAGTAAATGACACTTAATGCATATATTGGATACTTTTTTTTAGAATAAAAATAAATTAATTATTATACAGTTGAATAAATAATAAAATAATTGATTTCATAAATAATAATCAAACATAATATATGAATATTCATAAGATTTTTATGCATTGAATATTCTTTAAATAATTGATATATATATAACAAATTCTGAAAGTGTTTAATTAACCGTAATTATGTACATTCGCTGAAACGACAATCAAAGTAATATATGAACACCCTAATAAATAATGATAATTTGTTATATAATATGAAAAGGATTATCATTAATAATAATATAGAAGTATATGGTTGTAATATATTTCGTATTGTATACATATTTATTTTGTTGTGATGAAAATATATATATCAAAAATTGTTTACACTCTTAGAAACACTATTCAACTTAAAAATATAATAAATTATCATATAAATATGTAAAAGGTACATAACTATAATGCTATATTTATAGTGGAAATGTTTCCACAAAATTCTTCTTAATGTGTACTTATTACAACATTAATTTTGATGATTTTTTAAATTCTTTTGAAAAAAATTAATAGAAATATTAGCACCATGCAGATATATTAGAACAGATAAGAAATAATAAATATAACTTGAATAAGAGGTAGCCTTAATAATCCCATTTAGAGTAATAAGCGGTGCTATAAACCGGGAGAGGAGGACACCTTTAGACGTAGAGATCTACGAAGGATAGCTCAATTTTAGTCGCAAATATGTATGCAGTTTTTATTCTTCTATCTTTTACAATATTAATAATTACATTCATTTTATATAAAGTTAATATTAAATTTAATTCAATATATATATTTGTTATAAAATTAATGCTACATATAATTATGAATTACATATATATAATAAATTACTTTTTCATAAGGATATCACATTTCATGTTATTTTTGGTACACAAGGTTTGGTTAGTTATAGCAAACAAAGCTATGTATTTAGAAAAGAATGCTAAAAAATAGGAAAAAGTTAGTGTCAAGTTAATGGATTCCTTTAAGAATAGATACAATAATTAAAAAAAGGCACGGAATTATATAAAGATCATTAAAAAACTTATACTAATATAATAATACTAAATTAATTAATGTTGTTTTGTGAAATAATTAGTTTGACTGAATTTTTTTAATAAAATAAAATAATTATACTAAAAAAATAATTTGCATATAAAAATAGTGGTATTATAAGCCTTCCCTAGAATTTTTACGATATAGAGAGGATAAATTAAATAAAAGATATGAAATATTACAAAATAATATGCTATAATTATAATACCTGTAAAAAATAAACAATATATAAAAATAAACTTACAGATATGAAAAATTATGGATACAGATATGAAAGATTATGAACTCAGGTTTAATATAAAATGTTGCGTTCATAATGTACAATTTCTGAATTGCACTAATTCTATTTTAGATATAGCTAATATAAAATCTGAAGTATTAGATTAAATAAATAAACAAAATGAACTCTTAAGAATAATGAAATAAATTAAATAATGCTTAGACGAATAAATAATTCCTATAAATCAATGGAAAATCTGTATTTTCGTTATTTTATTTTTAATAAATCATAACATATGATTGTTGTCAGAATGCAAATGAATTAGAATACTTCTATATTTTACATATTATTATAGAAATTGATATAACACAATATTAAAAATAAAACTAGGATAATTATATTAATCTATTAATTAGAATAATTCTGATATATTGTATATTTATAATTTTAAAATCTATCAATAAAAGCAGATTCATGAAATTTAACAGAAAAGGTATGTATCAGATTTTTGATAGTCCAATATAAATCATGTTAACTATTATGATATTTAAATTATATTATTACATTAATTAATGATAAAAATTTTGTAAAACATATATATTTATACTATGTAATTATTTTATTATTTAAAATTATTTTTTAAACTTGTGGTATATATAATATATTGTATAATCATTTATCCTATATATATATGTAAAATAAAATAAGTTATACCATGAAATAATCTATATAATATGTATTGTTTTACACATAATTTTCGTACTTCCACTAGAGCAGAATATATATATGTAGTAAAATACACTATTGTACATATTATCTTTATACATAATAACTAGTTTTAACTTAAATAATTTCATTGAATTTACTATAATATAATAATAAATTATAAGATAATAAAAAAAAATTATGAAAATATAATAATAATATATATATATATATTTAGAAACATGTTTGTGAAAAAATTTAAATTAAAGCTTCACATAAATGTGCTAAATTTTCTTCATTTATTTTGGCAATAAACTTAAGAGAGATATTCAATAATTAAAAAATAAAATTTAATAATTATCAATAGTATAAATATTTATGTTGCTAAAATTGATAATTAATAAATATTTTTTACAATTTTAATATTTTACAATTATGAATCCTATTTTTTATTTTGAATTCCATTTAAATATATATTCTATATAAAACTAAAAGTATACGTGTAGTTCTTAATACGTAATAATTCTAGATATTTATATACACTAGATATATCCTACTTTTTATACATTTACATTGTTTGTAAGTACATATGTTTTGCCAAACAATAACGTGTTAATTGTATTTGTATCTTCATTTGTTTTTTATTTTTTTTTTGTTTATATTATATTAATTAGAAAAAAACATTAAATGTCAATATAATACTCGCAATAGTTACACACATATGATTTCGACAAAAAGAAGGTATAGCATTCATAATGTTTTCAAACTCATTTCAAACTACTAATTTATAATATATATATATTTACAATCAGATAAATTATATTCGAATATTATTGTATAATTTTCTTCTGCGAATTAATATTTTGTTCTGTGAGAATTAGTGTTAGTTGGATGCACAATACTTGTATCTCCAAATGAATTATTTTAATGTACCATAATTTCAGTAAATAAAGAAATGCTATATTTGTGTTTATTTATTTCTATTTTGGTGTAGTAAAGTGCTTATTCTTCAATTTGTAGTAATAATTAAAAATTGAATTTTCACATATTATGGCATCATACTAGATATTATTAACAATCTTTATTATTTATTCATTATATTATCATATTAATATAATTAAATTTATCTTCTACAAGAATTCAAATGCTATATTGTGGTTATTTATGAAAAATAAATCGAATCCAGTAATTAATATTACTCTCATTTATTAGTTTTTGTTAATTTAACTATATGCTATTTTACACCTATCATCAATAGAATTTTTGTATTGAACATCAAATGAATACATAAATTCCGGAATATTTTTGTTATTTTTATGCAAATTTCTTCTTAATTTCCGTACTTTTGTTTTTATAAATGAAAAATAAGGGGTATACTAAAGAAAAAATTATATAATATTTTTATTTATTGTTCATTTTTATTATATGTATATTTTAAATGTATATCTAAGATAAATTATAATACAACATAATTTTTTATATTGATTTTGTTTTTAAACTTGTACAAAATAAACATAATTATTAATATTGAAAAACTTATAAAAACCATCCCAATATATATTCCTGTGTTTGTTTTTCTCTCTTTCACATTGCTTCTCAATGTATCTGCTACTAATGTATGAGCCTTCAACGTTTCTGGATGTTTCTCAATGATTCTTATGTTTTCTTCATCCACCCCCCTGAGTTTTTTTCTTCTTGTTTCTATCCAACTATCATGAGTTAGGTGATCTGCGGCATGCGTTGCAATAGGATGGAGATTCCAATTTTTTATATAGCCTTCACATACATTAACAATTTTTTCGAGTTCTGCCTTAAGTCGATTTTTATTCTTACAAGGGCATTTTTCTAAATTTTCAATGTTCTCTTTGAAAATGCGTATCTCTTGAGTGTCGCATTTTTGAAGATTTTTTAAAAGATCAATGTAGTAATATATATTAAACAGATATTCCAATAGTTTAGATGTATCTTCTTCAATATCTCCAGAATATTGCATACATATCTGTGATATAGTTGTACTAATATTCGATACTCTTTGTTCTGTCATTTTCTTATAAGAATCTTTATTAGCGTATGTACAATGTAATGAAAATTTATCCGTTATATCATTTTTCAGTTTATAATAGAATAATTCACAACATGATTTTAGATTAATTTCTGTTTCTCTCTTTTTTATATGATTTAAATATAGACCAAGAACACGACATAAACTAGAAAATTCTTGAGATCTATGATTCTGAATTCCTTGAACTGTAAAAAATTTACTACACAATGCTGTAAAATTATTAGGTTCATTACCAACTCTATATATCGATTTATCCCAACTGAAACCTTCTGTACATGTGTAGAACATAGCATTAAAAATGAACTAAAAATGGAAGTCATAATATAAAAAAAAATTATAAGAATCTTAAGAAAAAAATTGACTTTCATTTTTTATAAATAAGATATTTTAAAACTATGTTTATAAAGCTTTATTATAGTAAACGCTTAAATCATAGTCTTCATCCTCCGATTTTGTGTCACTCATCATGTATATATATATTACAGAAAAAAATTAAGTTCTACACTTTTTATAATGTATTTTTATTTGTTAAAAATATCAGGGTAAATATTATATTCACATAATATAAAATAACACATATGATTCTATTTAATTCTACATATTTTACATTAAATTAACACTTTTTTAAATAAATTATTCATTTAAAACAGTGTTTATATTATTCTTTCTGGGAAAGACGATCTTATTTAAAAAACATATCATAATATGAAAAATAAATATATATAGTTAGAAATATATAATAAAATATAAAAAAAAGCATATACATGAAATAATATTATATATAACACAACTTTTATAGTATTTCCAATTAATATTATAAAATAAATTCTATATTTAATATGGTAAATATTTTTATTATAAATTATTTATTTTATATCTTTAATTACAATATAAAAATATATGTGCATTTATGTATATAAAAAATGCTTTAGTTAAAAACACATGGATAATAAGACATACATCTTCATATATTTCATTTGCTTATTTTTGTTTTAAATATTTTCATTTTATTAATTATTATCTTGGTGTTAGGTATTCTATTATATTTTTATAATATATAATAGGAACGCAAATATATAATATATCCTAATTTATGTGAATTATATTTAAATAATGTAAGTACAATTTCATAACTGTTTATAATATATATATATTAATATGTGTATATGGTACATTACAAAATAATTATTTAACATGTGTATACATATATTTACTTATAAATGTGTTATTTATATTTTATATTATATAATATTATATTCATATAAATTATATATTGTATATGAATAGGAAAAATAATTAAAACATATAATTTTATATTATATATCATATCCATATATATTTTATTATGAATAAATATTTCTTGCATTATATAACATAATGCTATAATAACATAATTTACCTATATAAAAGAATTCTTAGTGCTTAGATATAGTGAATTAATTTATTTTTTTTTTTATATGCTATTATTCAAAGTAAAGTTAATCCATAATATATTGTTATATTTTTTATTTTCATTTTTTCTTCATTTTATTGAACTAAAGCTATTTATGCTCCATATCCCCAACAAACTATTTTTTCGTGAAATATAGTTAATAAAAGGATAGCTATTCTTCTACATAAGAAAAAAAAATATAATATTTTTATTATTTTTTTTATAACTCTTTTCGTATATAATTCACACAATATTTATTTCATATTATTATTTTTATTATTTTACTTTAATTATTTATTAAAAAACAAAATGTCTTATATTATTTATACACCAATTAAATATTTTATAAAAAAAGCCATAACAATTTGATGTAAATTTTACTTAATTTTTATGTGAATAATATGTTAAAATAAAATAATTTCTTTATTATGCATATTTAAAAAACATATAAATATACAATGTAATAAATATGTAAAACTCAAATATGAAAACTAATAGATTTTATTAGATTTATATATAATAATAGCTATCAAATTTTTTAGTATATTATCACACAAGTGCTATATTATTTATTATATAAGTTATATGGACATTAATTTTTCATTTATATATTATTAAATAAAAGTTCCTTATCCTATAATAATAAAATATTATACTATAATTTGTTTTTTAAATATTATATAAAAACATCAATAATATATTTGTATAACTGAATTGATAATGTTTCATGATTATTATATTATTGTGTAAAATAAGTTATATGTTGCAAATTAATATATATATAATATATGTAGTTTTTTGAGCTACATTTAACCCAGCATATAACCTAATTTACAGGTAAATTTGATACATATTATTGAATTTCCATATTGAATACAAAATATTTTGAATGGAAATAGGATAGAATAATATATTAATATATATGTTTATTAATATAGGATAAATAAAATATATATTAAAAGATGAAAAAAATAATGCTATTTATTTATACTGTAAATTTTATATAAAAAGATACATTTTCTAACATATAAATATACATATTTCATTTGTCATAAAATTATATTTTCTTATATTGCGATTATATCTAGAACAATAATCTAGTGAATACATTTTTTATTCGTTTATTTATATTATATTTTTCTTTAAAATATTAATATATATTTATTCCTACTAAATTTCTCCATTGATTTACGTATATTACCTTATTATTATCCAGAGTATTAAAAGGCATAAGCTGAATACAAAATTATGACTAATAATTTTTATTACATATGTTTTATTAAAATATATACTAATACAATAAATTAAATATAATTGTGTGAAACAAACATATGCTCTAAATATATTGATATATTAAATTCTTGATTTACAAGTATGAAAACTTCTCAATATATCTAAGGAAATTGCTTAATACGGTTTAATGAATAAAAAAATAAATATCCCTTAATATGAGCACTTTTTAATCTTCATATATATATAGCTCTATGTTAAGAAATAATATGTATGTGAGTTATACTATTAATATTTATTAAAAAATTTCAATGTAATTTATCCTTAAGGATATTGAGTGTTATTATAAATTTATAGACTTTCTGATAAATACTTATTTGTATATAAATATTTCTTATAATCCTAAATACATTTTATTTGTTCATAGAATTATTAACAATGTTAATATAATAAATTAAATATAAGTTAGTATTATAATTGCATCAATCGTTTTTAATTAATAAATAATACATTTATATATATAATTCAGTGATGTTCTAAACATTTGTGCGATTCATTACTCTCATATATTCTAATGCATAATTGTAGGTAAAAGAATTTAGACATCATTGATTTGAATTGTTGGTTTGATATATAGAGTTTAAGGGTTTAGGGATTTATTTATACACTACAAAATTTATATTTATTATTAGGATTTGTTTTATATCTTTATGATTTTTTTTTTTACTTTTTAACGTTCGAATTTAATATCATTTTTATATATTTGAATTACACTTAATAATATATATATTTTTTTATTACATTTTTATAATAATTGTATGTATACGGATGTGTTATGAAGATTTATGAGATTTTATATATTTTTTATTATTTATATTAATTATAATGAGAATAATATAAATAATAATTCATTTTATATATAATAGAAAATATACTTTCCTATTTATATATCATGTATTATTAGTTTTTTTATTTATGGAAAATTGTGTTTGACGTATGATATGCTAAAAAAGTATTATCGTAAAAATACATTATATAATATATTGAAATTTAGTTCTATATTATTTTATAAAATTTATATTTATCATTTTATAAATTTATATATTATTAATTCATATATTTCTTTCGTCATTAAAGAATCCATATTCTAAATATCTTCTTTATTTTTTAATTTATAACACTAATTATTCATAAAAATTACATTACTTTGCATAAAAGTATTTATTAATATGTATTAGTATGTTATTTATTTTATAGTATATATTATATAATTTTCAATTAATACAGATTTTTATTTTTATAATAATAGCATAATTTTGATACATACTTTAATAATTTATCTAATAAATCATTTAATAGCACTATGAGATTTAGTAGGGGACTAATTAATGTTTTAAAAATATTATATTTTTAAAAGATAAATGTGAATTATACTTTATTATTATAACTTATCTATGTGATATATACATTAATCTACATTTATTCTCTTCGAGATTTACTTAATTAATAATTCATGAAAATAGCACATTATTACTATANNCATGAAAATAGCACATTATTACTATATAAAAATACAATTCATATTTCGTATTATGAAATAGGAATAAAAATTCTCTATATATTTCCTTTTTATTTATAAATGAAATATATATAAGTTCACAAACACTTACTCTGATGGATAATATTGAGATATTATAAATTTAAATGTATTAATAAAGAGATTATGCGAAAAAAGAGTTAAATATGTAAAAAATTTACAATATAAATTTATGGGTAATATGTTCTTCGAAGAAATATAGTTGTAAATTCATTGTTATCAGCAATATATTGTTTTATTCATATACAACATTAGTTTTATTAAATGTATATTAGATATTATAAAAATATACATAAGGATTAAAAAAAAAGGGTTCTACAAATTGTGTATATAACAAAGAATATAAGAAATAAATAAGAAAAATATATATATATAATTCTATACAAAAAATAATGACAAAATATGAATTATTATGAAATAAATTTAATAAAAATGTTAATTAATATAATAAATAAAAATATATATATACAAAATAATAAAATTATATATGATATCGAAGACAATTTACAGAAAAAAAATAATATAATATATAATATCATTTATATAATATGTCAATATATTATTTAATTCAAAAAAAAAAAAAATATAAAATTAATAAATTACAATAAATCATAATAATATAATAGTTAATCAGAAGAATAAAATAGTTGGTATCAAAAATAACAAAAACTAGGAAAAATAGATAATGACTAGAAAAACAAATTATAATAATAATATTTGATCCCTTTATCCTAAACACATTCTCCTAAAACTAAACCTTAATATAAATATATTGAAAGCTATAAAGTATATAATAAAAACCTGAACACAATAAAATAAAATGTGAAATATTAAACCTGATCCCTTAACCCCAAACTGCATACAATATACTGAAATATAATCCTACATATAAACCCTAAAACTAAAAAAATATTATAATAAATAATACTAAAGGAAAATTTACAATATTTATTCATACGTATTAATAACATAAAGATAAATTCAAATATCTAATATTAAATTAATAAGAACTAGCATTAATCTAAATATAAAATATAATAAAATTTATAGATATGGTTAAATTCACATTCTATTAAAATAAGAAGATATAATATGAAAAATAAACACTTATCCGTATAATGTAACACAAGTAAAATTAATCCATATACTGTGTTATACATATATATGATAATACAACAAATCTCATATTAATAATAAATATGTTGC